CAATCTATCTGCCGGCGGTCGCCAGGGAGATTGTCCAGAAATCATAGGAATCATTGGTAAGAACCAATGATTTCCATATTTTTCCTAAGCATTGGTAAAACCAATGTTTTCTATGATTTCCATATTTCAACAGTAGGGGCAACACAAGAAACGAAAGCAGCCAGGAACTGAAAGTGCTCCGCGCTGCTTGTCGTCATAGTGCAGCACAGTGATTTGAAGCAGAGGAAGAGACAAACGATAGATACATGAGGGGGGTACCATATATATATATATATATATATGTATACACATATACATATATGTACGTACATACACATATACATGCATATATATATGTGTGTGTGTACATACATACAGACATATCTATGTACACGTCAAGTTGTCAAGGAAGGCTAGGTTCAGAAGCTCAACTAACTAAGGCTTTGCAACAGCACCCAAAAGGCCCATAGATGTGAACGTTTTGGTGCTGTGCCTCTACCACCTCCCCCCCCCCCTTTGTCCATGCCCTGGCGCCCTCGAATCTCGAACCGTGCTGGATGCTCACACTCGGGCAACAGCTTACGAGACACGAAGCACACACCCATCGTGTCTCCCTAAACCCTAACCCCTAAACCGCGAAACCCTAAACCCATAAACCCTAAATCCTAAACCTTAAACCCTAAACCCCTAACCTAAATCCTAAACCTTTGTTTTTGAACCCGGAGCTCTCTCCAATCAGCCGGGAACCATGTCCAGGGGACATGTGCGGATATTTACCACCACACTTTCCACTTCTGAGTAAACACCTTAAACCCTAAACCGTAAATCCTAAGCCTTAAACCCTTCCCTAAACCCCTAAACCCTAAATCCTAAACCTTTTTTACACCTGGACTACGCATAAATCCTAAACCTTAAACCCTAAACCCCAAACCCTACATTCACTCAGTCACACCACGACCCAGAGATTCTCAGGGCCGCTCGAGGAGAAGGTCTACCATAGCGAGATGGCCTTCATACGCCTCGGCGCGGGTTACTTTACCGAATAGACTCTCAGGTGACCCCGTGTAGGGTTTAGGGTTTAGGGCGTAGGGTTTAATAGACTCGCATCGCCCGGGACCTGCCTTAAGATGTCTTAAGAGCCTGACGGCCATGTGCAGAGGCTCTGCTCCCTTGTTGTCACCTGCACAGCCAGAGGATAAAACAAAGAACCCTGATGCCCATCCACGGCTCGCCACATGTCGCATCATCTTAGATTCACGAAACGTCGCGAATCGAGATCAGGCCGTCAGCTGTCCAGAAGCAAGTCCGAAACAACTCTTTGCTAAAGCTAAACCCTAAACCCTGAAGCCTAAACGGAAAGCTTGCGACCTAAAGAGCGAAGCACTGAGGCGCAAGCGAGCAGATGGCGAAGCCTTCTTCGAAAGCAGCAGCTTTGCCTTCTTGCCGAACCACTCATGGCTTGTGACGTTTTGGTTCTCTTTGGCATCTGTTTCTCTGTTTCGACAATGGCTGACTGGACTTTGCTTCCCTGTTCGTGCTACAAGCTCATATCTCTGCCACTTCAACCAGACAATAAACACACACACACACAGGATCACCTCAAAAAACAGACGACGAAACGAGCCAACTGTTCAAGTGCCCGGCGATCGACGTGTGACCTGCACAGGGCTTGCTGGAGCCATGACGATGTCGTCACAGGATGCATTCAAAAGAGACAAGTTGGAGCCCAAACCTCGAGTAGCAGCGAGGTGAATTGGCTCGGCACCCCCGGAAGTACGTGCCATGGCAAGCCGCCGGTGATCCTGCAAAGCCCGGGCTGGCGGCTGGCAGTCCGAATTCTGGCCAGCTTCGTGCAGCACTCGCTCGCTGTTTCAACGTTCCCTCGTTCTGCGAGCTCTCGGAATGCAACTGCAAAATGGAAAAACAACGAGGAACCGTGGTGCAAGCTGGCACCCTCTCTGGCGATCGATACGCAACAGTGGGTTAGGCGCATCGAACACCGGACGGTGAAGTTAGGGATGAAGCAGGGCTGGCAGCACCGGCTGTGGCCTCGTCTAGGTCCAGGGTGCGCCTTGTTGTTGCCCTGAGGCCGACATCCTCAATCCTCCTCTTCCTTCTTTGTCTTCTTCGTGGGCATGCCCATGCCACCCAATGGAACATTGGGCGTGCGCACACACACACACACCCACACACGGATCCACTTCCGTGCGCACGAACCCGCGAGCATGCATGCAGCATCGCAACTGCTGTGGATCCAGCGCAATCACATGGCCTCCAGAAGTACTCGCAGTGCCTTTTCTTTTCCTGCCATGAGGCATTGGCATGGACTTCAAACGGGAACACTTGCGATTCCGTTCGCACCTTCGAAAGCAGCCAAATGCGAGGCCCTCTCGCGAGTAGCAAGTGCTGTTGGACACATGTGCTCCAGGGAGCATGCAACAACGACGCATGCTCTCTGGAGTTGATTGCGGCCTTGCTCCATGATTGTCTTGCCCGTCTGGGTTTGCACGGAGTTGGAGGAGCTCCCTGCGTCAGAAGAAGTCGAAACGGGCATAGCTCAAGCACGATAAGTAGGTGCTCTGCCTCACCATGCGCCGATGGCCTCTGTGAGCAGCCCAGTGCAGTGGCCTGGGAAAGACCATTTGACGGACAGAAAGCGACCAAGATTCGAGAAAAGAAGAAGACGTCCGGACAACAGGTGCCACAGGGAGCTGCCCGATCCGCATGCAGAGAGAAAGAAGCAAAGCAGCCGAATTTATCACCCTGCACTCTACAACCACTGCCAAAGCATGAACAACAGAGCGGTCGTCACAACCACATGCACATGTCACGCCAGCTCTGCTGGTCTACTTTTGCACTTGAGACCCAGGCTCTTTTCCTTCGCGATCCTGCGTGGCAGAATTCGAGCTGGCGGCTCTCGGGATATCATGAGGCTCTGACCGGGATTGGTAATTGCTTTGGAATGAGGTGTTGCGGTCCCTTTGTATTATACTGCATTATACTGCAATCGCAATCGGGAACCCCTGAAGTGCAATACTGACGCAACATTTGGCCAGCACCGCTGCCGGGCCGTTCCCTTTGGGAAGTGCGGGCTCAACTCGCGCCACAAAACCTGACCTTCACCGACAAGGCAGCAGATGTGTCGCCAACGGCCTCGAAAGCTGTCCGAAGCTGGCTCGTTCCGATCGGGCCAACTAAGCACGCCCCACCTTCAGGGCCTCTTGCAAGCCAGGCCTTTGTTGTGACATGCAGGGTGCGAGCTGGCAACTCTTGCAGCTCACGAACATTAAGGCTGGCTACATCTCAATCTGCTGCGCGCCCTGGATCTCACTCAAATATCCCCTCGTCTCCCTGCAATTTAGGGGCATGTCATCAAATGCTGCAGCCCAGCTTGCCTGCAGAAACAAACTTCCGCAGCGGGCTGAAAACAGTTCACGTGTGTCAGCCGTGTCTTGCGGAGAAGGAGCTTTGGGCAGATGGTCCAAAGCACCAATGTAGCCCAAGCCAACGGAAAACTCTCCGACCTGCACGCCAGTTTGCAAAGCTGCTGCTGCCAGCCTCTCTCCCCGACAGAATCTAAGACCTAAGGCTGGCACGTTGCAAGTGCCGTGGTGCCACTGGGATGGCCTGCTCAGCTGAGACCACCCCCCGGGAAGACATAACACAACCCGACACAGACGGGAACTCGGCGCGCCGCAAGTACACCACTTCACCCGCGTCCAAGAGGCAACTTTTCAGCTTCTTAACCTTCCGCGGCAATCAAGTCGAAGTTAAAAAGGGAAGGCGAACAGGTGCTTGGCGCCTTGGCAAGCTTCTCCCGCTTGTACCACAGATCGCATGGCCTCATCACTCATCAAAATCGTCTTCAATGCACAGCCTGCTGGCCTGGTCGGGGATCGATCTTGTCTGACTTCAGCGTCCGTGCTGCTTCCTGCCAGGCAGTTTGCAGCATGCACCGTACGAAACTCAGTCGAGCAAATCCGAGTGAAGCGCATGCTGACATAATCTGAGCGAAACTCACGTTCTTTTCGTCACCAGCGGACGCAACAGGTGGTCTGTGTCTTCTTGACTCTCCCCACATGACAAGCATCCACTCATTCGCAAAGGAATTTGTGTGGCCATCGCGGTTGGTCCTTAGCTTCTAGCACTGCCAGCACACGATTAAAGTCCGTGCTGTTGAAGCAAGGAAAGCTCCCGTCCTCAATCTGAGGATTTTCGACATCTGTGACGAATTGCAGGTCCTTTTCAAACCGCTACCAGTTGCATCTGGATGCTGTGATACAGAGAATGCAATGCGGCCGGCAAAGACAATGATTCGTGAGCCTGTGGGAAACCTAGACTGAGCTTCCATGCCTGTCCTGGCGGGCGCGAACTTCTGGGATAGAAACCAACCCAGTCTTCTCATCTGAACCTGGTGTGAGAATGCAGCCCTGTCCATTCGCAGACAATGTGCTACAGAGAAAATGCAACGCATGTGCTGAGAGGCGAACCGAAAAGCTTCACTGAAAGCTTTTTGGGACGGCTGGTGTTGGTAACTTGCGTGGTGTTCTTCCACACCTGAGCAAGCCAGAGTGTGATGATGAAGAGCAGACTGGGGCAGAATGAACCGCGCGCCTCCAACAAAGACTGTGGATTTTGGAATGCTGCACTACCCAAAAGATGCAGCTCCTTCTCCACCTTGTCGAAGCAATAAGTTTCATCCCAAATTTGACCCCAGAAGCGCCCAGCGAACTCTGGCAAGTTCGCCGGCGGCTTTTGCAGGTCCGTTCGGAGACTCGCCTTCTTCATATTGAACTCCTCTTGTGTCAAAGAAACAAAGGAAGAGGTGAGGTTCGCCACCGCGGACTCAATCAGCCTTTCAACGACGTCAGGGGGCTCCCGGAAGCCTTGAACAAGGACACGAATCTCCAGGATGTCTAAGTGGACCGTTGTGAAGCCGAAAACGATGTAGCCCAGCTGATGCTCGGTACGCAGGACTTGAAACACTGGTCGGTCAATGATGCTAGAGATCAAGCTGAACCGAAGACGATCAGCTAAAGACGGCACTCCAAATTGGTATGCTACAATGGTTGCCGAGTTGGGATCGCCAGGGATGGGATTGCCCACTCGGACCTCAATGTCCTTTCCTGGGTTTATGACAAGCGGGCGCGGCTCGATTCCATCTGAGGTCACGGTTGTCTGGCTCCTTGAGAATATGCTTGCGAAGAACGACCACATCTTTGCCAAGAACCCATGGGGTGCAGACTTCCTGCCAAGAATGTCCTGCACTTCATCTGCCAAGCTTTCTGCCTCGACACGCTTCAGGTTTCCTGACGCAAGAAGTGTGACCACTGGGTTGGCAAACATGTCTTCCAGCATTGCGTCGTGCTCGGACAAGCTCACGGCCCAAGAGTCACCGGCTGCTTTTAACAGGTCTTTTCTGGAATGCGTTCCGCTAACGGTAACAACATCAAAGGCCTCCATTGCATGCTGATAAGGCTGCTGACTCGTGACATCTGACAAATCCACAACCATCTGTCGCCTGACCATGTCAAAGTCTTCTTGAGAAACGCTTGGTCTTCTCACCTGCGGCAAGACAAGGCGCACGAGCTCAAGAAGGTGCTCATTGAACCCAAAAAAGGACAGGCTTAGGCCATCGTGACCGGTGCCGACGCTGTAGCTCAGACCGCACATTTGGAATGCATCCGATGGTTCCTCCAGCACCATCTGAACAAGCCGGGAATGCATCGCAGCCAGAATAGAACGAGCAGGGCTTTCCATGATCCTCTGGTGTCTTTTTTTGAGCGCCTTTTTCAATCCGCTAGGTTTAGCATCCCGAATCCTCTGGGGTTAGGGTTTAGGGTTATGGGGTTTCTTACGGTAACTTAAACTCAACACCTGAACAAAAGCCCAGTCCTTCGTGGGTATGCGATTTTCACTTGAACCTGAGCTTTAGGCAGCTGAAACGGCCCGAGGCCCAGCCACCAGAGTTCCACAGTCTTCTTCGGCAACTTCTCTGGGAGCTGAGTAGGCCCCGGCTCGCGAATCAACTCTAAGTTGGTAGGAACATACGCCAACGGTGGAGGCTCCCGAAGACCGGTGGAACTTGCCGAAGTCAGCCGTTGCAACAGCCCCTCATCCAAGGCTTCATCGGAGAAGTTGAAGTCGTAGTACTGCTCATGCTTCTGATGCGCGAGCACGTTCTGCGATGTAATGTGCGGTGTGACGAGCGCCACATTCATGTTGCCTGGCTTGATGCTGTTGAGCAACTTGCTTGAAAGCTCTGTGTCGACTTGATCAATCAGCGTGCCAGCTGTAAGTACATCGCGTGGTTCTGCATTTGGCAGAGAGCCTGCCATGGACGTCACGTAGCCAGACTCGGATCCGGACCGATCTTGGTAATCGAACATGACTTGGTTCAGCAATTGAATCTTCTCAAGAATGTTCTTGTTGACACCCTCCTTCTGCAAGATCTGAAAGTAGCCAAAGAAATGCTCCATGACGCGGTCGGACTCTCGCACACCCCTTTCGGTGAGTTCAAAAATAACAAAGAGGAGAGTGCCTGCAGCTGACGTCTCCGCCATGGTGGAATAGCTCATTGAGAGATCCTCGCGTTTCAGCAATGCCTTCAGGCCACCTGAGAGCAATTGAGCTACATGTTCAAGGAAACGCTCAAGGCTGTCAAGGACATCGCGGTCGTCACTCACACCATAGCTTGCGCGGGCCTTGGCCATAGTGGTTCATGGCGTAGTGGACGTAGGCTTCCGGCTGCTCCTTGTACTTACCTCTAAGCGAGGAGGTGGGAAACAGCAACCAGAGCTGTGGAGCACCATCCGTGTGCACGGTGAACTTCCTGCCGAGATTGCCGAGCTTGTGGCTGTACCTTGCATGCTCCGGTTCTCCTAGCGGTTACTTGCTTGAAAGTCTAAAGTGCACGGCATGCAGGTGTCTAGACTCCAAAGCAGAGGCACATTTCGACAGTGTCGTAGGTGGGTCGCGGTTTGCAGTTGCCGGCGCTTTTGCCGAAAACATCGAAGCTCCGGTGGACAGCATGCAGCTGTTGCGCGATGGAAGAGTTCTGCATGATCCTGAGCTGTCGCACTTATTTTTAGCACTCGTGCTCGAAGCTCAGGCGAGGGTTATTAATATAGGGAGGACACCACTATATCGCACCCGAGGGCATCTGCTGCTGGTATAGTCAAGGCTCACGAGGTGCATGCGAGATGGGCAGTAGTGCTCCTATCAGACTCGCTACACATTTGGAGGTTTCCGAAAATAGGGGACCCTAATATAGTGCTGTAAATAGTGGGATCCTTATTATAAGGGCCCCTAATTTTCGGAAACTCCCATTTGGCCGGCCAGGGCAACACGCCCCTTCTGCACTTTTGCTTCAGTCCTTGTGAAACTTCTTTAAAGCTTCTGGCAAGCTCCGGCCATCCTCGAGCATTCAAGATCTTCGCGCCAACAAGTGATGCGCGCGAAAGCTGATCCTGCTCCGGGTCCGTCTTCAAGGTCTTGAGATTCCCTGTAGAGAACTGGCTCACCTCAAACTCATGCAAGCAGAAAGTTGTCACAATTCGGGTCGCAGTTGGTTTTGCGCTGGAAAGTACATACCGGATGGCATGATCCACGACTTGAACTCAGGCTGCCCGTGACAACCCGTCTCCAAATGCACTTTGTCACATTATGCGGCAGAATGAGATGCAGAAATCTGGCGGGCTGCCGGGCTCAGCGGATTGGCTCTTGACTTCATCAGGTGGAAGAGCCTCCATGTGGCGTCAGGCATGTTCCTCGGACGCCAGAGCTGTAGATTTCCCAGCGATCCGAATGCTGGCCAGGACAGGTTGCGGCTTGGCGGCTTCTTGTGTTCAGAATCCACTGCATTTATCTCTTTGTCCACCATGTTAGCCGCAAATGTCGGCTCGATAAAGAACCTGAAAAACATGCGTCCCGTTCCCTGGAACGCACGCAACGACTCTGACACTGCTGAGCACGGCACTGAGCAAATATGTCGAAGGTCTCTTGAAAGCCCTCATCACTGACCTCGCGGGGAATGAAAACTTCATGTCGGGCCCCAGTCAATGTGGCACGATGCCCTTGTCAGATGTGGATTTTGTTGGCGACCAACAGCACAGAGCTCTGCAGGAATGTGGCACATCTAGCAGAGAGACTTGGTGGTGAGCGCCTCTGCATAGTACACTGTCTGATCGCTCGCAGTGTAAGCGTTGCTTTGCCCACCAAAGAAAGCCAGCCTTGGCTATCAAGAACAGACAACATGCAAGCTCTTGCTAGGCACGCGTCGTTGCTGCTGAAGCAACCGATCGGAGAATTTGTCCTCCTCAGGGTACTTCTTCGAGCCCAGAAACACCTTGGATAGGGTTCGTGCAGTGACCACTTCCGCAGCTGGCATGGAGCGAATTGCTATCTGTGGGGCATTTTCCGGAACCCGAAAACCTAGGTGACATTACTTACGTTGCTGCCCGTCGTACACCCAAACTGTCTGAAGGCTTCAGACCAATCCGAAAGTACGAACACGACACTGCGGGCAGGGAATTTTGCGAAATCAGCAGGGAGAGCTCTCCTCTTTGGCGGCGAGACTGCACGTGCAGCTGCACTCCAAAGATCTGCGGAAAATCCAAACAGGGTAGGGTTTAGGGTTTAGGGTTGTGGAAGCTTTCACTGCAGGCTTGGGACAAGCAAGCCTTCCGCCCACAGCATGAAAACTACAGCTTATCAGCTATTCAATGGATGCCGCGTCAAGGCCATCCAATACAAGAGCGAAGGAGTTGCTCGGAAACCCAAACCTTGGACTCCCTGAACCCGAAACCCCCGTAAGAAAAGAGCTGCTAACATGACATGCTATAAGTATTACTATCATTGTTATGATGACATTAGTATGTATTATGATAATACGACATGATTGAATTCCGTGCCCAGTCGGCCAAGACCAAGGCGCCATGTGCTCACAGAAATGTGCCAGTCCCTGGAAACCCTTGGGGTCCTCCAAAGAGCCCACCTGGCATCAAATGACTCTTGCAAGGCAAGGTCAAAACGGTTTGGGGTGTTGTTAGGAGGTTTAGGGTTAAATTCTAGGGTTCAGGGTTCTTGGATTATGAGGCTTGGGGCCTGGAATTTCCAGATGTTGGCTTCCCTAAACGTGGCTTTGAACCCAGACTCTGCCTATCAGCTGAGCAGCACGAACCTGCCTAAACCCTACACCCTAAACCCTAACCCCTACACCCTAAACTGGGTCTGTTGGGCTTCGAAGCCCTCTGTGCCTCCACAGCCATGGCATAGCTGGACTTCTGCGCTTCGGGATCTTCGACCAAGAGAACCTTGGTTCCCAAGGGTTTAGGGTTTAGGGTTTGGGGTTTAGGGTCGAGGGTTTAGGTTCCGAAACTTCTACTGACAATGATAGTTTATAAGAGTATGTTCCAGTATATGTATTTATATGGTAATACATAGTTGTAGGGCTCCGGTAATGATGCAGATGAGAGCTGAAGCGGGTCTTCGAACGGGGTTTTCTACGGCTTGAAGCCCTTCAGACAACTTCACGCAAGGAGCATAATCAGGAAGCCCCTAGAATCGGAAGAGTGGAAGGATGCAAAAGCGAACCTACTCGGAAGATCCTAACCCTAAAACCCTTTTTTTTCACAAGGGACGACTGCTGCCCTTACTTCCCACGCCTCGCAACATTGAGCTAGGCATCTGGAACCACTATCAACACAAAAACATGCAGCTCAACTCTTGAGTTTCTCAGCAGAGACTGACACGAATTAACCGTCGGAGTCATGTACACGGCATTGGTCTGCTTCATCACGTTGTATTTTCTGGGTTAGGTCACGGAGACGCGAACGTTCCTCACGACGTCGTTGCTTCACCGCCAGATGCTCAGCCTAAAACCCTAAAACCTAAAACCCCAAAGCCTGCACCCCTAAGCTTTGATCCTAAACGCAAAACCCGTGGACCGGGGAACTTTCAGTCCCGAGTCCAGGGTCGTGTGGAAATACGTTCGCCTGCAGGGAGACAAGGTCCCGGACAGGGAAGTTTGCAAAATGAGGGTTTAGGGCTTATACTATATCTACAGTATAACACTTTGTATAATATTATACTATATCTATAGTATAATATTATAGTATATTATCGTAGATTATAGTACTTAGAATTTCAGGCTTCGGGGTTATTGGGTTTAGGGCGGGCTCAGAGCTCCAAGTTTCGGATGCGAAGGTTTGAGACACGTTGGCCCCATCCGAAGCTCTCAGCCACTCTGCCCCCCAAAGCCCCCAACCCCAAGGCAGATCGGTTTTCCCCCTTTTTTCCCCTTTAGGGTTTAGGGTTTAGGGCTTAAGGGTTTACGGGTTTAGGGTTTAGGGCTAGATACCTCAAAACAAAGGAGACGCACATGTGGCAAGGAGATTACACCAGGAGCTGTGGAACACATATTCTCGACTCCAGTCCGCGAGCAGCTTACCTGCACTTCTTTACCCGCGACCCCATTGGGATACAGTCACTACTTTTGACCAAAGCTCCGCGTCTAAACAAGTAGCGAGCGTGGAAGCATAGCAGAGCACAGCATATGTGTGATCATGAGGGTTTAGGGTTGTATGGACTCATTCTGTGACTGGTTGCTCCACCTATCCGACTTTGACTTCCTGATCGGATCACTGGCATTGGCGTCCTCAGGAGTGTCGGAGTTAAAAACAGGACCGGATCAGGCCGTCAGTGGGAATCATTCGAACAGGATGTCAAGCCCTCTTTGAAGCTAAGGTTCTGCCACATCAACCACACCAGGGGCATAACCTTTTCGGCGGAGAAACCCTGCATTGGCAACCGTCGCCTTCATGTAGGGAGCGATTCTCTGCCACTGGGGAACATGCTGACTCTGTGTGTCTCGTGCTGCGCACCAGGAGCAGCAAAGCTTGAACCAGGCTGAAGATCTTCATTTCACCTTAGCTTTCCCACTGGACCATGAACCTTTCACAAATCCCAGCACAGGCCGAGTGTCGGAAAATGAACTTCGTTTGGCATGCGGACGGGATCGCGAGTGACCTATCCCGCCACAAATGCACCTGCCCTGAGCCAGGTGTCTGCGAGACACAAGCGTCTCAGTTTATGCACAGCGGGAGCTGTATGCTCGCCACGGCAAACACCAGTCTACAACCAGTTGCGAATCCAAGACGTCAAGCACGCAAAATCTCCTGGGAACAAGAAGCTCTTGCAGCAAGCGTCATAGCCCGTGTGCCTGATCATCCGGCGGCGCAACGACCTTGATTCGGGTACCAGAAGCCTCTTCTTTCCAAGCCATTTCATAAGGACACCGCCCATGCCTTCTGGCCCAGAAGTTGCGCGAACCAGTTTTCCTTCAGCCAAAGTTCCTAGGCCTTGCCTTTACGCGCAACTCGAATGCCGGACGCTGGTGTATACCTGCCCTGTTCATGAAAGCTCAGGGGCCAAAATCAAATTGCAAAAAGCCTTCCAGCCGAGCATTTTTGGGCTTCACATGCAGGGTTTCGTGATTTTTAGGTGCTTCGGTCGAGGGCTGGGAAGCAGCTATCTCCAAGCCTGATGCTGGTGGGGTGGTGAGGAGGCGTTCGTACCTGGTATAAGGAGCAGGCATCTCACAGCACGAGCTTTCAGTATCCGAGGCCGGCACTTCCAATGCTCAGGGTCGGCCTTTCACATGTAATGGAATAAATTAAAGTAGAGAGGAACAGAGTGGAATAGAATAGAATACGTAAGAATGCAATAGAATATACTATTCACTATTCTATTCTATTTCAGTTTCTATTATACTATATTATACGATACGATACTGTACTAGACTATGCCGACTATGCTGTAACATAACATGTCTTCCTTCTCTCGTTTGAGGCGGGGACCCGGTGAGCTGGATTGGTCGCAGATAGTCGGGCAGCTCGAGGACTGGCACAAGGCAAACATGCGCAGAGAATGCCAGCGATCGGGGAACATACCGGCGATACCGTCTCCTAAAGCTTGAGAAGCCGGATGCAAGGGCTTGAGTAGGAAGAGCGTTGACTCGGCGTGTACAGCTTTGTAGTCAAGATGAAGGTCCAAAGTGCTGAGGATGGGACATCTCGCAATGCCATGATCGATTCTAACGGGGCCGGCTGGCCCAGTCCAGTCTGCGAGGGCCTTGTCAGCGCATGGACTCAACACAGAAAGAGATCACCAGCGCACTTCTAGGCATTCCACTTGAGTTGCGCTTTTCCGGCACATGCGCGAAGCTCCACCTTTGCCTTGTGAAGCACATCCTCCTGCGTTAGCCTGTTGTGCTTCCTCGATGCAGACGTAAGCGACAGGTGTCAGCAGTGCCGCAGTGGTTTGCTTCATCCGACTGGGGCGCGTAGAGATGGGCCACCACTGACTCCAGAGCCTTGTTCCAAGCTTCTTGACCCAAGCATACGCAAGAAACGGGACACAAGCTGTGTGCCCTTCGGCGTGACCATCGAGTCCAGAAACATGAGTCACAGTATCAACACATCGGTGAAGCTGGCAACAAAATCACCTGAAGGCAGAATCAATTGCTGCACTGTTTTCGGGTTGGGTGTGTGCTGCCAATACATCACGCAAAAATGCCGACGCTCTGAGGCTTGGACTTGTCTGGTTGTACAAGAGCAAGTATTTCACTGCATCGTTGTTTTGGTCAGCAAATGGAACTCGTTGGTGCGTGCTGGACTGCTTTGCGGACTGTTGGAGATAGATGTCCAGCATACGATGTCGCCAATCCACGTTGATGCCAATCGTCATCCACGAATCATCCACCCAACTCCCCACTGGTACTCGGCTCGAGCATGAAGAAAAAATGTCGCGGCCCGTGCCGTCTCGAGAAAATGACATGCATACAAGCGGCCGCTCTGGGCCTTTGTCATTGCCCATGCCATGTGCCAATGCGAACACCGCACCTGCCCGATGCGGGCACGATGCCCTCGCCTTGCAACGATACACCACCACAGATGGTCGACAGGCACAAGGAAAGCTGAAGACTAAACCACTCGGACCGTAATTTGTGCTTGGATCTTCGTTGGCGAGGCACATGCACCAGTGACCAAGTGGTGCGAAGCTGGAAGTGGTCGAAGTGCAAAGCGTACTCATACAAGGTGCCCTGTGCATCTGTGGAGGTGCTTCCGTTCCAGGGCCAATGCGCCAAACACCTCCTTGCTTGCCAAATAATGCTGGAAGTCCACCTTCTGTTGAAACTAGCCGCTGAGGATCCATGTGTGCAAAGTTCTCAAACAGCCATGCTCTCTCCAAGAAGTGCGAGAATCGCATCACGCTGGCTCTTTCTTCGAGGGTCAGCAAAGCAAAAGGCGCAGGAAAGGGCAACCTCTTCTGCACAAGTTGCAGAGCTGCCTGCCAGTAGGCAGCAGCCACTCGAGCGAGGAGAAGAATCTCTGTTGCCGCGAGATTGGACCAAACCTTGCACAAACACGAAGTCGAAACACTCATCCGTGACCCTGAAAAGTTAATGCATCACGACTAAGGGCCTATCAAAACTGTGAGCACACATACTCCGCAACTTCGGCCGTGCCCTATACATACCAAACCGTTTGCTGCGGGCGGAACAGAGACTATGTTCGTGATGGCAGGTCATGCCTGGGTTCGGGGGCCGAACTCTACCACTGCGTTTTGCGCAGTTCAGGTCCGCCTCCTCCACGACATCACTATCAACTCTAGCGCTTAGGGGCGTTGTCGTAATTCAAA